ATGAATGCATGCAAAAATCCAAGAATGATAAGGAATGAATAAATGTGAACAAAGGAATTGGGGAATGATTCAATGTAGAAATGAACGAAAGAAAAATGAATTAATTAATTAAGTAAAGACAAGAAGAAAAATGTCCTCATCTTTCCTTGTTGAATACTCATCTTTTTTTCCATTGGTACAAATTATTCTAGCAATTTCTCCTATTTCTTACCTACTTCGCCATAATATTTGTTATGGTGCCGGTGCTCTCTTTAAAGCAACATGGGTTTGTTTAAACTGAAAGAATGGTAGGATCCATCATATGAACACCAAAAAGGTTGCGGAATGGGTGGGCAAATTTCAAAAATTTCCTACATTTCTTCCAACTGGGAATCGCATTCCCTTATTTTAGAATCAAATATTCAAGGATCTACTCGAACCAAACCAAATCAAATCAGAGCCAAAGATCAAGGGAATACCTGATACGGAGAATCAAAATCTCCCAACGTCGGTGTTCATGCCCAAAGAAAGATCCAAGATCTACTCCCGCTGAAGATGACACAACGATGGTGGGGCAAAACCAATAGTATGCGTCTCACGTACCAAACTCTTCACAAGAGCTCGTTGAAGGCTTAGAGCACCAAACCAAATCAGCCTTTCAGCAAAGACTGATATCAAGAACATATTTCTTGATTGTCCCTTCAGTGGAGTTCGAACTATGCAACAAGGTGGCGGCAGCTGGAGGAGATCCCTAAGGCTGAAAGTGGCGTGAATGCAGTTTTCAACTTGGGGAAGATGAGACCCTATCTCAGATTGCAGAGAGTGTTCTTGCAAAAACCCTAGGTCAAATTCTTGTAATTCTTGATTAGGGTTTTTCTCCTTTCTTAGTGATTAAGAAATCTCCTTATCCCAATCCAAATCTGTATTTGGATAGGGGATAATCTTAATCCTATCTGCAGATTAGATCAGCCCATTCCTGATCTCATCAGGAGGTTAATCTTAATCCTATCTGCAGATTCGCCCCCTTAAGTGGGTGATCATATCAGCCCAGTTCAAAATGGGCTTTTAAGCCCAATAAGTAATTAGTGCTCAATAAGTTTCCAAACTGCTGCCCAGTTGGGCTTCTTTGTATGGCGTGGGACCCAAGCATTGATCTCCACATCAGCCACATGGGTTCGGCCCAGCCTTTGTTACAAGGCTTAGCCGAATTCACTAAAAGGCCCAGTGAACCCCCTGAGCCCATCACATGGACCCTATGGGCCCAACACTTACACTAAGTGGTCNGGCTTAGCCGAATTCACTAAAAGGCCCAGTGAACCCCCTGAGCCCATCACATGGACCCTATGGGCCCAACACTTACACTAAGTGGTCCCTGGGCCAAGCCATCTTATAAAAACCCAGGGACTGTGGGCAGATGCAAAATTAGCCCATCAGGTATTATCTTAAATGGCCTTACACTTAACTTCTCAGCCCATAATGATCAAGCACTGTCCGACAAGAGAGGACCTCTCTCTCAGCTACAAGGAACAGTGCTGCACTCTCTACTCACATGGATCCCGAGAATTAAAACCATTTGCAAACATTTTGAAACCRTAYATAWVTATATATCAWATAWATAAATTTTGCAAAACAAAATTCCAACGATTGAAATCAACTGCCGGTAGTTTGGTTTCCATCAGAGAGAGTGCATTTCCGATCATTACCTTTTTCCGACAAAGGGGCTGACCCCATCACTATGATCACCCACTCAGATGAATTCTCAGACTGTCCCAACATACCCAGGTTTTGACCCCCGCCAAGGATCTCGCTGATTTGCATATTAAAGACAGCCCAATCCGACATCTAGTGCAGTATCATAATCAAGTCTAGGGATCAGGTGTAACTTTCCAGTTTTGCCCATCAATCTCTAAGGTCCAAGGCACTACTGGAAATCTGGTCCGGTTCAAGGATTCAAGTAATCCTACACTGCATGTGCCTTGGGTCTCACCCTGACGACTGAGACAAGCCACCCCAACACTTGGCAGCACACCAGTGTCAGCCTTGGCAGGATAAATCCCCCCAAACTTATCCAATAGCCGTGAACGTTCTAAACTAACACGAGTCTCACTAAGTGTCCAGTTTAAGGGTCTTACACAGAAGCATACCACACGACATGAATCAAACATGTACTTTATTTATTTACCTTAAATATCAAAAGTACATCAAAACTGATTGGATCTAAAGGCATACAAAATTGTCCAACATAAACACCCTCTTTTTTGGTTTAGACCCGTTTAAGTCTTTCACCTGCCCCTCCTGTTCAAAGGACTTTTGGGAGCTCATCATTCACCTCCGAACTGGCAGTGCTCTCTCTTCTTCCTTCCTTCCATCCCTTATACAACCACCTACCGTCTTTCTCCATCATTGTTGGAATTCCAACCCCGATGAACTACGGCAGTGTTAATCCCTCACCAAAGAGTATGCAGGAAGCCCTTCCAGGGTTCGACCACTTTCTCTTCCTCCTTTTTTTCTCCTTTTCTGGTTCAGCTGCCTAGCCAATCCTTTAAACTTCGGGTCAGAGTACAGACCACCTTTTGTTAACTACCTTATACCTCTTATTTTAACTACTTAAACCCCTAAACCTATTAAATAGATGTATTCTCCAAACGTAGAGGACAACGAGATCTTAGAGAGGGAGACACACATGGGCCTACACAAGAGTCTTCCAAATAAGAGCAGGGAAAGCTTAGAGAATTCCATGATGATTATTAGATGATTGAAGAAACCCCCTATGAGTGTAGAGATGATTTAGAGAAAAACTTTTGAGTCTTAAAAAGCACCTTGATTCGATTAACAATCAAGACCAAAAGCTGAAGCGATGCTGAAGTCGATCAAAAAGCTTTAGACATGATGGAAATAGAGAATTCCGGCAAGCTTCCTTTCCTTCGGACTACATAACTACAACCCACGGTTTGCATTATCATTCATATTCTAATTAGGAATATCAGCGTTAGATAATTTCTACATGTTTTAATGCTTCCGTTAGCATAGTTATTGATTGCAATTTGGTTTGTTATCTTACTCATTCATTTATCTTTTGAATCTCTGGGTCATTTTACACTTCGCTTTCTTGGTTGACTTTTGCATCACTTTCTAAAATGGTTTTTTTAACTATTCATCCAATTCAGTTCTCCATACACATTGTGTATGGGAAAAAAGAGGTGAAAAAGAGAAGAAGAAGAAGAAGAAGAAGAGTGCTCTCTGATACCAAGAAGAAAAACAGTCTTCTGAAATGAAAGGACTGTTCAAAAAATTGTAGAAAATCGATTGAGAGTAGTAGAAATCAGGTTTCAAGAAGAGAGAAGAGGAAGAAGAAGGTGGCGGCAATAAGGGTTCATAGAGAGATTTCGAACTTAATCTCCTCTTACACCCCTAATCCTATTTCATTAACTTAAACTTTAGTAATTTACAAAGAGACCCCTGGTGGGGCAGATAATTAAAAAACATAACATAAGAGAAATAAAGACCCAAATTGAGTCCCATTAAAGCAAAGAACATAAAAAGATACAATAAGACAAACAGCCTATGGGCCATTCGGCCCATCTTCTCTACAAATTCATAATTTCTTTTTAAATTAATCCTGCTTTAATTCAAATAACCTGTTTTGTCTACATTCATCTAAATTAGAATGAAGTACAAAAATCAATACAATTGCAATTTAAAAGATCTACTTCCATTCAAAATATTTTTCTACCAAAAAAATGAATACATTCGAATCACAAATTAACATGTTAAGTTTCAAATTGATACATTCTCTAATACAAATTTCATGTCCATTCTCAAAACACTTGTAGTTGGTTGAATATTTGCCATGCAGAAGATCCTATCATTTGCGAAGAGAATGTGTTATGCATGAAAGTCTTCTAAGAGTAAAAAATAATTTGGGTCCTTTTGAACTAAGCAGTGTTAATACATCAAGAAGYTGCATTTCTGAAGATCTAAGAAGCAACAGAATGTGAAATTGTGACATCTTAGTTACAATCTTATCTTAATATAAATTAAATGGAATATTGAGTCAATTGGGAACCTTATCATGTGGGACAGTAATGATATAAGAAGTAGCAGAATGTAAAACACCTTAATAATATGGTACGTATTTGTACTCCTTCCAAACTTAGCCTTAGTGTCAAATTTGTTCTTTCARTGACAAATGTTAACAAGGAAAGAGTTGAACAGAGTAGATTTCACAGCTATCATAATTGGGACAGAATGTTGTCATCTAGATCTCCCTATCTAATGTATAGTCTAATTGGATATATCATCACTCCACATGTCTGAGTGAGGGGGACTTCATGTAGGGAAGGGACAAAATGCTGTCCATCTGGATCTCCCTATCCTTTCATTACTTGTAAAAGGTAGAAATAAGAAAGAAAATAGACAAGGCAAACTATACTCTCTCCTGAAAAGTAAAAAGGAGAAAAGAATTATGAACAAAACATGTATACTACCTCATCACTGTTACCACTTTCCCATTCTTAATGATAGAAAGGACAAAATGAGAGAGATGGGAGCCAAGAGTTTTCAAGGGATTCTTGGGGATACAAGAAGAGGGAGAAATAAGAGATGTGGAATAGAGATTCATCTTCAAGCTTCAATTATTGGGTGGGTGAGGTGAAGYTGGATTTAACTATTGGCATGCCAAAAGAATTGAAGGAAAAAGACTTGGAAATCACTGATTAGGCAAACAGATTTGATGAAAACCAGTTAATTCTTTATTTTTTTTCTTTATTATATTGTTCTTCTTTCCATGAAATTTGACTTTAAACAAATACTGTTAACACTAAGTACCCTAACAGGTTGTATGACAATGACCTAATCTTTTGGTTTGCTTCTGAGTTGTTCTTTCACAGAAGAAAGCCAACCTTGTACTTTGGAGAAACGGATAACAGTGGGACCTGTTTAACATCCGGACTCCATCTTTGTTTAAATTTGTAACAGAAAGGATAACCTTGTACTTTTCTATCTAGGTTAAAATGCAAAAATCTAAAAGGAGAGAGAGAGAGAGAGGGAGATCATTTTCAGGATCTTATATGGTCAAAATCCTGATTTAGTTTTATAAAATAAATAAACAAAAAAAGGTCTTTAACAAGAATGCAACTGAACTTGAGAGTATAAGATTAAATTCATTAGAAAACATCTTAACCTGGAGCTTTCTGAGCATAAAGGATAGGCTTTAACAAGTTTTTAGATTCAATAATCTGCAAAGTAACATACAAAAAACCTAATAGGTTAGTTTAATATTAATAGTTCCAGACAGGAAATTTAGTAAGGGAGAAGAATCCAACCATGAAGAAAATGCATGAAATTTGGAAAAACTTCACAACATTTTTGAATCATTAAATCTGTTTACATGGATAATGTGCATATATTATGTGCGCAGATGGTAGCAAATATACACAAGTGTTGCAGACTTGAATCATTAATCTAGTGGATATATTACACGGATAATTTGCATCGACAAATGATGTTTCTGATGCTCTATCAAGAAAAAGGGTTAGTAGACACTTACTGAGGAGCATACTCATGAAGTTAGAAATTGTGTTCTTAAATTGGGGCCTGCAATTACAATTTGAGGGGGTAGCAATGGGTATGACAATGTTTTCACTTTTTGGGAGGTCATTGTAGTACTCAGTTTCTGTATCTTTTGTGCTAATCTTCATTACTCTTGTTTGGCTCAATAAAATTCATAACTAATCTTTATTATTATATTGGAGGGTTTTTTCTTATTACTAAGTGAGACAATAATAAGTTCTATATTTCTGTATTTTCCTTGATTTGGCTGATAAGGGAAGCCAAAAGACAAAAGAAAAGTAAAGACAAAATAGAAAGGCAAAATTTCTTTTGAAATTCTTCTTGTTTCTCCCCTAAAAGGTAGAGAAAGCAGAGGAAAATAGTGGAGTGTGAGATGAAAACACTCACCCCACTCCTAAAAGAAAACTATATTGTCTTTTCTTTTTCTCTTGCTTTCTTCATGACAAAACATATAACAAATGACCCAGAATCATCCATTAGAAACATGGTTTTGGGCCAAAAAGACCTTGTCCCTATATTCATGTGCCCTCAATAGGATGAGATTGGAGCTAGAACTACTACATTGGATTACCTGTGGCCAGGATAAAATGGAAACAGGGAGTTTTATTTTTCTGCTTTTGTTTGTATTGTAATGGGTAAGGTTGACAATGAGAGGGAGAACTGTGTTGCTGGGTTTAGGGGGCTAAGTAGCCTCCCTTGTAATTTTCTGGAGTACAGTTTGAGGTTAAAAGAAAAAAAAAACAATTCCCATGTAATTTTCTGAATTTAACATCAAYCAATTCCAAAGCATTAAGTGCAAGATATTGCTATGTAGAAATTTATTTAAGGTCAATAGATACCATTTGAAGCCCTAGTTTCAATGTAAAAAGACATAAGTCATTTTAATCTGGTAAGTTTGGAACTTATGGTTAATGGGGTCATAAAATTTCTAGCTATAGTCACAACTATAGGTCATCTATATATCAAGGTAGATATATCTCCGTAGTGTATTTAGAAATGGTACTTTTCTTCTTCTGTTTTGAGGGTGGATTTTTATGGGGGTCCCTAATTGGATGTCATGTACAACTTTTCTCATTGTACAGAGGACCATGCTTTGCCTTCGAAAAAAAAGAACAAAGGACCATGCTTTTGATATCAATACATTTTACTATACTTTACCTTAAAAAAGTTGAAATGGAGCCAATTCTAGAAGGGCTGAAAATGGCCAAAGCACTTGGAAAACTTATTGGTAGAAGGAGACTCAAGGATGGTAGTGGGTTTGGGTTGGGTAAAGAACAACATGGAAGGATTAGGCAAATAGCTAATGGGAGGGTGGCATGATTTCAATGAGGGGTTCAGATTTGACTTTTATCTTATTTTTTTGTGATAAGTAAAATAAGGAAGTAAAATGATGTCGCCAGTTGCCCCCACCTTGTATCAAAGACAATGGAGATAGGAGGGTTATTTGTTTGGGAATTGGGAGTAAGGCAAGAAGATAGGGGGGTTATTCAAGGAAGTAAAATGTTGCATGGGTGTCATGATTTTGTTGGTTATTTGTTTGCTTGTTTGTTTTCTTAGTGTTTTTATAGTTTTCTTTGTTTTCTCTTCTGACTATTGAACTTTCAAATCTGATTATTGAATTTCCAAATTTGAATGCAATCCAAAATCTGAAATTTCCAAATTAGCACCCACAAGGGACTATACAACATAGTGGCCACTACTCTCAAGACTTGAAACTGTCTTCTTACTCTTTTTACTTGGGATCCATTAAATATTTTTACTATTTTGAACTTTGATACCAATTCCATAATTTTACTATTTTGTACAAGTTCCTACATACTCTAAGTAGTAAAATTGGTCTCTTTACTTGAAATTGGTGAAAATTTAGTTTACATACCAAAAACAATAGTGTCATAAAAACATATAAAAATTTAAAAAAAAAAGATACTATAAAAATCAAATGCAAAATCAAAATGGTAGATGGATTCACTAGCGTAAATTCAATTGGAGAAAATGAAGAAGCAAATAATGGAGTTATTCAATGATAGATAAATAATTTATCAGCAAAGGTAAGTTATTAAGCATTATATGAAACTTGAGCTTACAATTTTGTGGGTTAATTTACCCACACCCATAGGAGTAAACAAATACATCTAGAGCTGCAATCCCCAAAAACCAGCCTTACAATTTAGCCCAAAATATTCCAATTAATCAAAACATCAATAACAAAGATTCCAATTTCTCATTAATGAGTCCAATGATATATAATTGTCCCGCTTTATTGTCTTGAAAGGCACCTCAACAACTAACATCATGGTTCTCTTCTTCAGAATAATTAAATTTAGACATCAAAAAGGACACAAGCGTTAGTCTTGCCCAAATGAGGGAAAAACTTCACTAGATAGAAAACAAGAGTGTACCAAGTAAAAATATTAGACATCTTAAGTAGTCTTCATCTATTCATTGAAACATTACATTAGCCATTTCATGCTTCTAAAGGCATAGCATAGGAAATGCATGGATTTTTCTTTTTGATAAACTCATACAACTATGACATGCTAAGTTATTTCTTTTCCATTCAACCTTTCCTAACAAATACCCTTGAATGAGAAATGGATTATAAGAAAGATCAGGTTCATGGAAATCCTGGTTAAAACAGAACCTTTTAATAGATTCTACCAAACAAAGAACCTKTTAATAGAAGACAAAGAGAATCATACTAACCCCAGCCTGCATCTGGTTGAGTCCACCATTGGTATGAATAAGCAGGTAACCACGCTACTCTGCAACAGTTGATAAAAATATGCATTTAGTAAGAGAAATATCTGTTTAACAATTGCACATTAAAATAAAAGCAACCCAAAATATATCTGCCTAATTGTCTCACATGAATATGATGGACTAGGCTCAATACAAGGCACAAAGTAGCAAGAGCAAGGAGGCTTTCACAACTTGTTGAAATCCAAAATCTCCCTTGCACCATTCAACTATCAAGGCTAAGGGAGTGAAAACATGAAAGATGCATGACTACTCTGTAYTAACAAAAATATTCTAAATAAAAGGTACTTGGTCCATAGGATACAGGATGGGACTAACTACTATCACAATCAATGTGGGTTGAAAATTTATCGAACTAAAAAAATCACATGTCAGAGGAACACACACAGAATGCAAGAGGGAGATTTGCATTCTGAGAGAAAGAGAGAGAAAGAGAGAGATCACCAAGTACCAATGCATGAATAGCGTTACATGCCCTCTGAGATCGAGAGACTCCAAAGAATGAAAGAGGGAGATTTGCATAGAGAGCATATTTTTTGGTACAGAACAAAAATCAAATGGTGAGATTGACTGAATAGAKAGAGAGATTTACCTATGGCCAAATGCCATTCAGTGATGTTAACCCCGATCGAGGAGACGACAGTGGTCTAAAATTCGATTAAGAGAGAAACAAATGATTGTGAGAGGAGATATATACAGAGGCGGGAAGGGAATGAAATGTGAAGAGGAAGGGGACGCTAGGAGGAAACCCTACTCAAGTCACGCGCTAATTATAGTGGCAGTTTTAATTGACTGCTGTTAAAGACTAATAATTTTAGCGACGACTTCCATTTAGTCCCCCTCAAAAACTACCGCTAGAAATGATTTTTCTTGTAGTGGTAAGTGCAAAGAGGAATGGATGATTGGCATTCTCATTGTTATTTAACCAAAAACATGCATGAGGCAAGATAATCAAATTTCATGTCTCCATGATAAGAATCCACTAGACGACCTGCTCTAGGAATTCTTGAATCAAGTTGTTATGTGCACCCAGAAGCTAGAAAACAAGTTGTATTTGATCAGATTAGAACCTCAAGGAAATTAAATCCTTAAAGACCCAAATCCTGAAGATACCACAAAGGTTGATCACTCCCTTGATAAGACAAGATATTGTATTCTACCAAGAACACAAGAAGGCAAAGCTAAGCTTGCTGAAAATACCACTGTATTATTGATTGATTTTCGTGTTACATAGTTGTGGCCTTTATATAGGCATGTAAACATCATTATCTTATAAAGAAACTTCAAACTAATGATGATCCCTTTAATTTAGGAAAGTAAATCTGCTTTGAAATAGAAATCCTTCTAAAAGACTACAACTAATGACAACTAAGCATAGAAAAGTCAAAGTAAACCAAAACAAGACAAAACAAGCCCATCAATATATCTTAGCATGCGAATTGGGCATTTTCTTATCATGTCCATGTGCCAAGCCCATCAATACATCCTATGTCATGGATTTCAAGCCTGTTCTTCAAGATCCAAGCCTTGCTCATCGTCTTGCACATAAAGATAGGTGATTATCCTTGGTGAAGCTTTGGACACTTCTAGAACAGTTTTAAAATCTTCTAGAACAGCCTATTTGTCATGCACTTTCATGATTAAGCCTTGTAAAACCTCTTTCATCCTCTTTGTTCTTGCCCTAGTCATTGGTCTACCAATTCTTTGCAAAGGATCTTGAGAATATTTGGGAATATTAGCTTGAGTCATTTGGCCAGCACCTCGATCTCCATTATTCTCTCCTTCCTCGAAAGGATTCGATGACTTGTTATTTTGTTAATGGCTCGGCAGTCCGCACACATACGCCATGTTTCATCTTTCTTTGGGACTAAGATGACAGGAACTGAACATGGGCTAAAACTCTTCCTTACAAAACCCTTTTGCACCAACTCATCCACTTGCCTTTGTATCTCCTCCTCGAAATTAGCTCTATAAGTAGGTCGATTTGGTATGGTGGAATCGGGTATGAAATCTATTTGATGCTCAATACCTCTTAAGGGAGGTAATCCATGGGGAATCTCCTCGGGAAATAAGTCATCAAACTCCTATAATAAAGACACAACAACAGTAGGCACAGAGAGGTTTAGGACATTAGTAGAAAAGTAAACATCTTTGTACATAAGTACAAGTAGTTGCTGCCTTGCAATCATGACACTCTTAATCTCATTTTTTTTCACTCATTCCCTTGCTTTTCTCTCCTTTTTGTACACTTTTCTCTCTAATTTTCCTCTCGGTCTCACTCTTTTCACTTGCATTTTTCCTCTTGGTCTTACTTGCTCTCTCTGCTTTTGCATGTTCACTTTCTTTCTTTTTCTTTTCCTCTTGCTCACACTTTTGTTCTTCTCTCATTTTGCACTCTCTTGCTATCCTAATCTGATCTTCATAAGCTTGCAAAGGTTTGAGAGGGGTTAGTACAATAGTTCGGTTATTCATACAAAAGAATAACGGTTTTTGTACCCATCATGTGCAATCTTCCTATCAAATTGCCATGGTCGGCCAAGCAATACATGACCAGCTTGCATTGGTGCCACATCACATAGAACCTCATCCTCATACTTGCCAATTAAAAAGGAGACCAGAACTTGCTTGGTTACCTTCACTTCTCTACATTCATTCAGCCATTGCAATTTGTACGGTTTATGATGCTTTATGGTATGCAAATTCAGCTTATCTATCAACAACGTACTAGCACCATTAGTACAATTTCCACTATCAATAATCATAGTACATATCTTATCCTTCACATGGCATTTTGTGTGAAAAATATGCTCACGCTGCTCCTCATCACCATCATCCTTTGGCTGTATACTTAGGACTCTCCTTGTAACTAGCAAATCACCATGAACAGGTTCTGCAACTTCAACATCAGAACATTTCTCCAATGATGGCATCTCATCCTCACTTGAGCTAGCACTTTCTATTTCCCCATTCTCCAACACAATCATAACTCTTTTGTTTGGGCATTGAGAAGCAATATGCCCGAATCCTTGGCACCTAAAACACTTAACATCACGTGACTTAGAAGAAGTTTTCATTTTGGTTTTACCTTTATGAACAACAATCGAATCCTTTTGCTTTGTTTCCTCTTTTGTTTTTGAGGCAGCTTTGTTGTCCTTCCAATTAGAATTCCATGAAGAACCAGATCTGGACCCTTTTGATTTGATTTGCTTCTTCACTTTAATGGCTTTGTGCGACAGCTCCTCCATCTCCACATAGTGTTGTAAATCAACCACATCAGCAATTTCTTTGTTCAGGCTGCCAATAAATCTAGCCATTGTTGCTTCTCGGTCCTCATCTATGTTTGCTCTAATCATGGCTATCTCCATCTCTTTGTAATAGTTCTTCACACTCATGGAACCTTGAACCAGCCCTGCAACTTTCTATGCAATTCTCTATAGTAATGGCCATGTATAAATCTCTTGCGCATTACCAATTTCATCTCTTCCCATAACTGAATTCTCTCCATTCCTATGCCTATTGATCACCAATTGATCCCACCATATGCATGCATAATCTGTGAACTCCATGACTACTAGTTTCACTTTCTTTTCCTCGGAGTAATCATGGCAATCAAATACGTGCTCAACCTTTCTTTCCCACTCCAAGTATARTTCGRGATCATTCTTTCCTTGAAADGTCRGAWTCTTCATCTTTATGCTGCCCAAATTGCTATCTCTTTTGGAAACTGACTTATTGCCTCGTCTAGAACTTGATTCCTCCAAATCTGAATCATCTTCCTCTTCTTCCTCAAATACACGTCTTCTAGTGGACTTAGAAATAGATGGGGATTGCAAATCATCCAGCCTCGCACTCAACTTTCTAAATTGTTCATTAACAACCCTTATGAATAATTTCATGTCAATTTCTTGTGATTCTCCTTCAATACTCATGTTTATAACCTGCAAAAATTCACTGGAAATAAAAGAAATTTTGTTCCTCACCTCTCTTTTTCTTTTATTTATTTTTGTTCTTCACACACTCCCTCACGTGTTTGCACTCAAATCAGATTTTATCACTATTTGACTTTTCTCGATGATGATCTCACCTCTCTTTGCCTTTTTTTTCCACTCAAGCCAGTCCCATTTTATGTTCTTAACATAATCAATATCAAAAAATCTCAAGGAGCAATCGGTTACATGGTGGCAAATCTCAAAATCAGAACTTTAAAAAACTTAGTTGAGGCAAACGGTAGAAATAAGGAAGGAAAAATCAATTATAGGAACAAAAAAAAAATAAGAAAATTTCAAAAGGAAGCAAAAAACCTGCAAAAGAAATCACTAGAATATGGAGCACAAATTTAAATTAATTTAGACATAAGAATCCTTATTTGATAAGGATTAATACTAATTAATATAGTAAGACAACTGTTTAAGGAAAAGAAATCCCAATTCAAAAAGGATTATACAGCTGGCTCTTGAATTAGTCAACTAGTCAAACCCAAAAAAAAGGAAATATGATCTTGCAATTCAAGAAATCCCATTCATGCTGGGAAAATGAAAAGAAAATCAGATCTGCAATCTAACTCCTCCTCTTTCTTTTTTTTTTTGAATTGGATGTTCTTTTCTCTCTCTTTTTTTTCTCCTTTTTTTTCTTTTTTTTTTCGAATTGGATGTTCTTTTCTGTCTCTCTTCTTTTTTTTCTTTTTGTCAAACTAAACACACAAAACAGAATTGACTCTACTCAAAAACACAAARAAGTCGAATGGAAGAATTCAAAGAAACTATGCAATGACAAAACAAGAAACATGCAAAGATCAAAGAAAAACACAAAACAAGGATAAACAAAGAATAAGTAACATGTTTCTAGAACCAAGGCTTTGATACCAAATGATAAGAACCCACTAGACGACCTGTTCTAGGAACTCTTGAATCAAGTTGTTATGCACACCCAGAAGCTAGAAAACAAGTTGTAGTTGATCAGATTAGAATCTTAAGGAAACTAAGTCCTTAAAGACCCCAATCTTGAAGACGCCACAAAGGTTGATCACTCCCTTGATAAGACAAGATATTGTATTCTACCAAGAACACAAGAAGGCAAAGCTAAACTTGCTGAAAATACCACTGTATTATTGATTGATTTTCGTGTTACATAGTTGTGGCCTTTATATAGGCATGTAAACATCATTATCTTATAAAGAAACTCCTAATCTTATAAAGAAACTCCAAACTAATGATGATCCCTTTAATTTAGGAAAGCAAATTTGCATTGAAATAGAAATCCTTCTAAAAGACTACAACTAATGACAACTAAACATAGAAAAGTCAAAGTAAACCAAAACATGACAAAACAAGCCCATCAATATATCTTAGCATGCGAATTGGGCATTTTCTTATCATGTCCATGCGCCAAGCCCATCAATACATCCTATGTCATGGATTTCAAGCTTGTTCTTCAAGATCCAAGCCTTATTCATCGTCTTGCACATAAAAATAGGTGATTATCCTTGGTGAAACTTTGGACACTTCTAGAACAGTCTTAGGATCTTCTAGAACAGCCTATTTGTCATGCACTTTCATGATTAAGCCTTATAAAGCCTCTTTCATCATCTTTATTCTTGTCCTAGTCATTGGTCTAAAGATTCTTTGCAAAGGATCTTAAGAATATTTGAGAATATTAGCTTAAGCCATTTGGCCAGCACCTCGATCTCCATTACTCCATTGGAACATCTAACATCAATTTTTTTAGAATGATATTTGTGGTGAAATTTTTTGATTTTGTTTTGTCAAGTGAGGACCTTGAAGGAATCGTTATGGATGATCCAGTTATAAGTCAGCAAGAAAGAAAAGGCTATTAGTTTCTCTAC